GAGGAAGCTATGTGTCTACTACATCTATTTCTCTCTTGACATCCATTTACTATCACCTCGAAATGGCGATTTTTATCCTGGATTTTGTGTGAACTTCCGGTTATCTTGTTTAAGGGGGCTTCTAGGATTACTGTAGTTACCGGGTTACGGTAGTCTTATGAAAAGTCAGATATTTTTCAAATAACTTTAATGTTTTTTTGGGCTTCCGGTAACCTTATTTACGGAGAGCCAAAGGTGATAAAACGGGGTACGGTACCCTATTTAAAGGAACTTCTAGGACTACTGTATCTTTTTGGACCTAGGATTACGGTACGTCATAAAAAGTGCGATTTTTATAACCGAGTTCGCGCGTCATCGAAATAGAGAATTTTATGTCATTTATACTTCCGGTAACCTTTTATTCATGGGATTTTTCGGGTTACTGTAGTTCCCGAGTTGCTGTATGTAGCTTAGGATCAGATAGATCGTTTTTACATAATTTTTATGTTTTTTTTGGTTATCCGGTAACCTCCCACGAGGACCCAGAGGTGAAAAAAATGGGTTACGGTGCCTAAGATTACTGTAGCACACTGAAAATTAAGAAAAAAAACCGACAGTTTTTTAAGTCTTACTGTAGTTTCACAGCCATCATTCACGCATCTCAAACTTTCAATAACCATTTCCGTTCGTGGTAATTATTATTCCTGGTCAAATTGGTTTGGTGGCCTAACTTTCCCGAATTTGGCTTTTTAGGCCACCATGAAAAGATTATGTTCCAATTGACTTCCTGATCATTTTCCAATTTTTAGAACTCGAAAATAATGATTTTGAGCCAAGTTATGCAGAATTCCGTGAAATTGCTCAGAATAAAATATTCTACTATTTTGACTCTAACTCGGCTAAAATTGAAATTTTCCGGGTGGTTTTTGGATAATATCGATAGCTCTTCTTTCAAAATTTTATACAAAACAGAGGTATAGCAAAGCTACAGTACCCATTTGTCCTCCTCCTTCCCGTAAAACTTCTTCACAAATTCTGAATCACCGTTCCTAGCCTTTCCTTGTTTCATTTCATTCTAACCCTCTTACTAATGACCTTCCTTGAGAAAAAAAAACAAAAAAAGTATTGTTACGTAAGCTGGATGGTGTGTTGGTGACACCTAGTCTCGATGTCTAGGGGGTACGGTTACGTAATTTTTGAATAGAAGAACAATGGGGATTGCTTGCGTATCCTTAGGTAAGAGAAGACGGAACTGTCATTTCTATCAAGAGGGTTTCAATGGATCAAAGTTATCGACAGAACTGATTCTGAAAAGTGGAAAGTGATCGGGAAGTCATTGAGTACAGAATCCCCAGGAATGGCCTAGAAACCCAACTTTTGAGGAAGTTTGGACACCAAACTATTTTCCATTCTAGATCTTCAATTTGACATGGCTAGATGCGCTCTTGAATTTCCTACAATTTGGTTCAAAAACCAGGCCGAAATCTTGATTTTGAGCCAAGTTATTGTCGAAATACTGGAATTTTTTATTCTGAGCAATTTCACAAATCTTAGTATAACCCGACTCAATCTCATGATTTTTTTGTTTTAAAAAGTGATTTTTCGCTCTCCTTTTGTGTTTTTTCTCTTCTTGAAGTTTCCCATACCTATCCATCTAACCATCACAATGAAACCTAATCCCACCCCAATCTTTTCGCATAGATTAGTATATCCTCACAGTGTGTGCTCCTCAATTGTTGACATTCCATCAATCATGCACTCGATTATGTGACTTGTCTTCACGATGACTTTTGCAAATACCACTTAGTTATTGTTAATAACTATTTTTTACGGACCTGGCATCATATTTTACGACAGAAAGTTCATTCCCTATAAATTCGGGTGCTTCTACAGTGATTTCTATGGTTTTCCGAAGTTTTTATCATTAGAGCGCACCTTCTGACTTTTTTTTTGGATTTTCTAGCCAGCATAAGTTACTCCCCCCCTCTCTTACAATCTCTAACACCGCGCGCTCTTCTCTGCTCTCCGCCGCTGCAGTAACCGATGTACCGCGTGGCCTAGTGGTTAGTGCTGCCCGACTTCGATTTGCATACCCGGGTTCGATTCCAAGTGTGGTGGAATCTTTTATGCTTTTTCTTGGGAGCATGGATTTCATATTTTGAGGTGAATATATTTAATTTTTGTCAAATTTCGAAAAACAAAAGTGTCCTAAACCCCCGAAACCCTCAAACTCCTCCTCATAAACTCCTAATCTCCCCCCCCCCCCTTGGACATACCGACAAACAGATTCCATAAAAACGCCGATTTATTGGCGGGAATCCACCTCGCCCGAATTTTAAACTCCTTTTGAATCAGTTTAAAGACAAGATGGTGGGTCGTAAAAGGCGGGGCGAAGACCCCCCAAGGCCACGGACACCGGTTGGGACAGATGCGTTTTCCCGCCATATCCCCACCAAAGAAACGAATGAATGATGATTTACGACGTGTTGCCATTCTATAGAAAAACGCGGAATAAAATTGGGGAAGCTTTATGAGATAGTTTATGAGCCCTAACTTTTTTTTGGGGGCCGCCGCCCTTGGGGGCGGGGCTTGGTTTCACCTAGATGCTTCTTTTCGTAATCATGCCTATCGGTATGTTGGTTTGTCCGGATTTCAGGAAATTTCTAGTTCATGCTTTCCAAAAATAAAACCAAGAATCTTCGAGAATCGATCAAAAATTTCGAAAATCACCTGTCCCCTCCTTATTCCTTATTTCAAATCCCTTTTCCACCCAATTTCTTCCAAACGGGTCACCACCATTTTCTCTAACCCAACCTCCTCAATTTCCACACTATTTCTGTCAATACCTCTTAAATGGGGTGACAATTGTAGGGCGATCGTTCTCTCACAGCATGTGCTACTGTATCCTCATTGGAATTAGCATAAACGGGTAAGGAGAGGGATGATGAGGTGACAGGTTGTCTGTGTGTCCACTTAACACCTCTTCTGGGAATAGGGGGGAGATTTTGATATACTTTTTTTGAATGCAAAATGGGTTAAGTAGTGTAAGTTCGCTCTATTGAAAAACTTTTTGTTTTATGTTTCTTGGGTTAAGGCTTGGGAATTTTTGGCTCAGGATTCTTAGGCTTAGGATTCTTAGGCTTAGGATTCTTAGGCTTAGGCTCTTAGGTTTATGTTCAAGATTCTTAGGCTTAGCCATTTTAGGCTCAGGATTATTAGGCTTAGGCTTCTTAGGCTCGCGTTTCACAGGCTTAGGATGTTTAGGCTTCTTAGGCTTAGGCTTCTTGAGTTAAGGTTCAAGCTCCTTAGGCCTATAAGGCTTAGGCCCAAACATCTTAGGCTCAGACATTTTACTATTAGTCTTAGGCTTTGAATTTTTAGGATCAGGTCCCTCAGACTTTGGATTTTCAAGCTTCGGCCCATTAAGCTTAGGCTTATCAGGCTCAAGCTTCTTTGGCTCAGCCTTCCTCACTAAGTTTTGACATTTTACCATCAGGCTAAGGCTTCTTAGGCTCCAGACTCTTAGGATTAGGTCCTCCCTTAGGCTTAGGCTTCAAAGGCTTAGGTACTCAAGCTAACGCTCATGAAATTTAGGCCGTTTAGGTTTAGACATCTTAGACTTAGGGCTCTGAGACTCAACTTTTTTAGGTTCGAAAATGCTGCAAATCAGCTCTACTGTAAATTTTATGCAAACTCGAAATTGGGTTATTCAAAGCGGCTCGAAGTTGCAATCTCAAAATTTATATTTGTGCAAGTTAGCCTAGTGATATTTGTCCATCTACAACCCATTGGTGTATAACCAGAAAGCCCCAATTATTACCTAATCCCGGTACACTTGACTTGTGCCCTATGTATACATTTGGAAGAAAGACTGGGAGGTGGAAAGTCTAATGTTTTTTTTGGAATGGATTTAGGGATATACGGGAGTGAAAACAATTAGTAAAGGTGACGATTTGATAAGAGAAGTGAAAGAGTCAGGGCAGGTGAATATTGAAGTCGGCTCTAGAAGATGTCCGGTTTTATTTTTGGGTTTAGCCATGTTATTACTCTTGTTGGAAGCTGTGTAAATAACAAAAGAAGTTTTTGTACAAAAAATGGGATTTTTCAAGGGATCGTGCTTTTTGAGTTTTGATCCGATCGTATATCAGTCGATAGAGAATTCAATTTCCTATCCATTGGTATATTGTAGATGATTTCATGTATGGTTGGTTCAGGAAATAAGAACCAAAGCTGAACTAAATGAGTAATTAATACAATTAACTAACTTTTGTAGTTAATAACTTTAGAAAAAGCCTAAGAACACTCAAAACGTTCTTAGCCTGAACTCTCAGAATTTTTAGCTTTGTTTCGTGTTTTTCACAGTTTATTGCCGATTCTAGGCCCCCTACTCCCATGAATCTTATGTATCAATCTCCTTTTTTCTTGTTTGACCTCTTCTTCCTCCGTCATCCTCATAATAAGTGTTGGTAATAAAGAGATACCTCTTCTTTCTCTCTCCGTTAGCTCTTAGGTATCCCATCCCGTTGATTACGTAACTCCCGGCACACAAAGAAGAGGCACTATTATCCATCTTTCTTCGGCATGCAATCTGTGTGTGTCTTCATCGGGGGTGCCCTTTTTTTGTGGCTTGATAGGAATCTTTCGATAGAGCGGCTATTATTGAAATAGGCTAGTAGTGTCAAAGTTACCTGAAAAATACTCCTAATAGAGCAGCATGTAAAAAAGGTTGATCGGTGTCCTATCATACTTTTTTTTTACCTATTTTTGCCACTAAAACTACAGCTACCCTCCGATCTGTACCCCCATTTTTCAACTATTTCTTTTGACGGCTTATACCAAGGTTTTTATCTTTTTTGGCCAATTTTGGTCTCTACAGTAACCCGGTTTGTCCTCTTCACCAAAAAAAACCAAAAAACTCCAAATTAAGAGCTCAAAGGTTGCACAAAAAGCGATCTAGTGACAGCTGCACCACTCTCTCTTTCGAATTTCGAAAAAAAAGTTCCAAAAAAAGTGAGAGGAGCATACCCTAACACCTGCTAACCACCAAAATGTACTTCTTTTTTTTTTGGAAATTTCGATTTTTTCTTGATGAGGATACTGTAGTTCAGATCGAAACTGTCATTTTTGATCCGTGGAGTTCATTGTTTTGAAATTTCGGGAACTTCAAAAAATGGATTGGTAGATCAAAAAATTCTCTATTTATTGGTATAAATATCATGACAAGTTGTTTCAGGAGAAGTAGATCAAAAAGTCAAAAAATACTGAAAAACTCAATTTTTCTAGTTTTTCGACTTTTTGACCGACTTTCTATGAAACAACCCCACATGATATTTATACCAATCGATAGAGAATTTTTTGATCTACAAAATCAATTTTTGTGATTCTCAGAGTTCTCAAAAAAGCCTTCTAAAGAGTAAAAAACTTTACTGTTCTGCTTCTATAAATGCCTCTTTTCTTAGTAATGTATGTCCCTAAGTTGGTTTGTCCGGATTTCCGAATTATTTTTTTTTCATGTGTCTTTGGAAACTCTGCAGGATTTTGTGTAAAGTCTCATGTGCCTTTAAGGTTCAAAAAACCGGATACAGTTTTTTCCGGCCCCGGGATTTTTAACTTCCCGAAAATTTTTTCAAAAATTCCATGTGCCTTTAAGGTACAAAACCCGAATCCTAAAGAAACTAGATTTTCCAGAACCTCATGCGCCTTTAAGGTAAAATTCATAAATACTGTATGCAACGGATTTTTCTAAATTTTTATGCGCCTTAACCAAATTGGTCCCCCATGATGCATAAACCCGTCCTCCCACTCGGGAATCCATCTCCCTGCAGCCGGGTGGTCCTTGTCCCTTCTCCAATTTATTCCTCCACTTCTCCTCCCCCCAAGAGAGCTGACCTCTTCTTCCCTTCTATTCAGTCTTCATCCCCTCCATCACACCAAAAAAAGGGTGAATAGAGTGAATGGATGGGGATGTTGAGGGGGGATAAAAAGAGGGACGGTTAAGGGGGCGTGACCCTTTCTCTGCGTCTCCACACTCTCCCCGTGGATTATGGGGGTCCTTCCTCAGAAGACAGTCTTCTTTCTCTGCGTCAATTGGTAATGAGGGTTGGGGACGCATACACAATAGAGTCCTCCATTCGTTTGTATGTGTATTCGTTTGTTCGCCTATGCACCAACTGGGTGGTGGTTTTTTTTGTAATGCGCCTTTAAGGCCCTCTTTAAAGTTAGGTGTGAACAGATGACCTATTTTGGCGGTGTTCTGTAAGAGATAGATAAAAATGATCAAGTAGAAATTTGTGTAATTTTTGATTCTAAGCAAGTTTGTAGTTGACAATTTTTTGATAGCAATACTAAGAACCGAGTTATACCGGTTTGAAGAGGTTGTGTACCTTTAAGGCTGATATCTTTGCTGAACAGCTTTATATCTCGTTTTCTGTAAGAGATAGAAAAAAGTGATTAACTAAAAAGTTGTGTCGTTTTCAATTCTGAGCATGTTTGCAGTTAAAAAATTTTTGATAGCATTGCTAGGAACCGAGATCTACCGGCTCGAACAAGCTGCAAGCCATTTTTTTAATTTTTTTTTTCCATTTTTTTTTTCTGAGAGCGCTATAACTCGGCTCCCGTATTAGATACAGAAAAATTCTCAACTTCAAACTTGCTCAATTTTAAATTTTACACATTTTTTTAGTTGACATTTTTTCTCTATCCTCGCTAACAACCGAGATATTTCATTTGGAAGTGACGGTCCACCCAAGGTGTGAATCCTTTTTTCGCCTTTTTTCTTCTTTTTCTCCACCCGCCAATTACCACTCCACTATTCAAACATTTCTATTTGGCGGTCCTTTATTGCTTTTTTCCCGGGAGCAAAATTTGATCTACCCCGCCATTCATTTGCCCCCGCACACTGCTAGGAGAAGGACCATATTATTTTGATCTACCCATCGATTATTATCTTTTTTTTCTCGAAGTTATCTTCCCCACATCTTTTTTGTTTCCGGTACCCAGGTTGTATTCCGTTATTCCCATACTCGTAAAGCTGTCTTGCTACTTTATTGCTCTTGATAAGCATCTGCGCGCGATAAAAATCTTGATGGATTGTTACATCTACATGGTCCTGGGACTGCCCTCAATGTTGATTAGGTGCTTAGAAAAAAAAGTAAAAAGGTTTTGTCACTAGGTGGGGTCGAACCTGGGAAACCCTGTGGCGCGGCGGCCAAAACGCTACCCAGTTGCGCCATACGCGCAATTTGCGCAAGGGGGTGGTAGGGCGTAGAGAAGCAGAGGTTTTTGCGTTCCTGCGGCTTCCGCTTCCGGTTGAAAGGGAGTTATGTAACAAAGGGACGGTTTTGGTGTTATTAAGACGTAATGTAATTGTCATAATTATCAGTTGACACCTTCCCTATAATGATCCTTAGCCCTTTGTTCTTTTTAGGACCCTGTCTTTGCGCCCCGCTCTCAAGTAACTCGGAAAAAATCAATAAATAGTTATATAGTCAAAATCCAATTTTCTATATATTATTTACTAACCTAATTTTCACCTGCTCCCCTTCTCCCCGCCAATATTATTCAATCTCCTGGCTACCAACACAACTTGACGTATACATTTCTTCATATGCTTCTTATATATTTTGGAAAACCGCAAATTAAAATTTTTCTAATCAAAAAATTATTTTTTTCCAGCGCGCCAAGCCAAAAAAATGGCGGACCCGAATGGTCAACTCCCATCTGCGACTGCGACAGTGGCCACCGCCGCCGCTGCGGCTGCCCTCACTCAGCCGATGATTCCGACGGGATACGAGTACACGTATGGCTTGGACACCACTGGCGCTATTCAAATGCCCGATTATTGGAATGGTAAGTTTTTGATCTACCAAAAATTTGATGATTTTTGACATAAATGTTCTTTTCTCTAGAATTTGATCTACCTTTGGTTTCAAAGCGCTCTTATGGAGTAGAGTTAGCCAATCCAATTTGTTTGTGTGCGCGGGAAAATTGAGAATGGTGAAATTAATTTTTCCCCGCGACCACGGCCAAAGTTTTCTCATTTCTTACCTTTTTCGCCTTTTCATATCATTTTCCTTTCATTTTACTTCTTGCTGACGGATTTCCACACGAATCGATACGCTTTTACAGCTTTTGCGCGTCTTTTAGAAGATTTTATCATTAGAGCGCACGTTCTGATTTTTTTTTTGAAATTTTAATTTTTTTTCTATTGATGACGTGTCACTCCCTCTCCCCCGCTTTTCCTCCGCGCTCCTCTATGCCCTTCTCCCTCCTTGTGTTCATGTAACCCGTGGCCTAGTGGCTAACGCTGATAGTTTTGAATCTGAAGGTGCTGGGTTCAATTCCACATGGGGCACAAACCTTTTTGCATTTTTTCTAAGTGGTTTAGGACTATTTAGAACTATTTAGAAACCATTTGAAACCATATAAACACAAAACCCAATGTTTATTTACTCGAAAACCCACTCCACTAAATCCACTCTAAAAAAAGATAAACATTTCAGCCGGATACCAACTCAACACCTACCAAATGCCACCAGCCGACATTGACTACACCGCAGCATTCGGAGCGGCCGCCGCGGCCACAGTACCCCCACCAACTTCCGTCGTCGACACCACCAACACCACCACGTCTTCTGAAGTGAAGCCGAATCATTTGACGTCGCCAACGACAACATCGCCAACATCCGGCTCCACAACCACAACCACCACGACGACCGATGTGCTCGAGCTGAAACCCACCACTCTCTCCGCCCCCAATGGGACCACAACCACTGAAATTGGAGTGGTGCCAGCAGCCCCGGTGGCGCCAGGACCATTGGACGCGATGACTTCAATGTACGGGGCGTGGCCCACGTATCCGGGATATGATAACAAGGCGTCTGGCTCGGTGCACCCGTACAATATCACTATTCCACCTGCATATCCGTTTGGAGCGGATCCGAGTGCCGCTGATCCGTTGGCTTTTTATCAGACACCTACAGGACAGCCAGTGGTAGGTTGGGGCGGGGTCTTGGGGGTCCCTAGGATAGGTTAGGCTGGTATAGGCTAGGGTAGGCTTGGGTAGGCTGGTCTAGGCTGGGCTAGGCCGTTCTAGTCCAGTCTAGGCTAAGCTAGGCTGGTCTAGGCTAGTCTAGGCTAGTCTAAGCCGGTCTAGGCTGGTTCAGGCTAGTCTAGGCTAGGATAGGCTGGTTTAGGCTGGTCTAGGCTGGTCTTGGCGAGCCTTGAATAATCTATGAATGATTAGCCTAGTGGCTAACCCCTTTGCTTTTGAAATTCGACACCCGGGTTCGAACCCCTCTGGGGCGAAATCTTTTTGTTTTTTTCCTGTGAATTTTTTTTTGAATCCGTAGCCTAGTGGCTAACACTCCTGGTCTCTGAAATTCCACACCCGGGTTCGACCCCCTCTGGGGCGAAATCTTTTTGTTTTTTCATTATAAACTTTTTCTCGCTCCTTTGGCCAATTGGCCAACACTCCTGGCCTTTGAAATTTCATACCCGGGTTCAATCCCCTTGGTGGCTAAATTTGTTTGTTTTTTCATTATAAACTTTTTATTGACCCCTTGGCCAAGTGGCTAACACTCCTGGCCTCCGAAACTCCAAACCCGGGTTCGAACCACGTGGTGACCAAATCTTTTTTTTTCTTTTTTACATTTCCCCGGCGACTGAAGTTTCACACCGGGACTGTTTCATTTTACATGCCTTCTAAGAGCCTCTCCTTCTCCTCCTCCTTTTTTATGGGTACTTTACCGCCACAAGTTAATCTCGAGGACACGGGGTTTTTATGCATGCATAATCCGCCTCCCCCCGCCCGGGTCCCTTTGATCCGTACCGCCCCCCAACCACCCACAAGATGATTGCTTTTCGAAGAAAGGCGGCATGTTCTTTATTGCTAGAGGTGGTCCCGAGAAGGGTGGGGGTGACCTCGAAAAAGTCACTAATGTAAACATAAAAAAAGTAGAAGAGACATGCCTAAGATGGATTAGTTATGTAATTAAGTGTATGTATTCGCCGGCGGAGAAGTTTAGCCAACGGTGGGGTGACCTTAAAAGCGCATGGGGGGTTTTCAAATAAAAAAAAATCCAAAATTTCCAGAATGGTCTCGGCGGCGACACGAACCTCGCCGACTACGGTCACTTTGCGCCAGCAGGCATGAGCCCCCATTTCGACTCGCCCCTCTACCCTGGAATGCCTGGAATGGGTCCAGCCGGCTCGAGCTCCTCGTCTGGAGGTGGTCGCGAGAAGGGTGGATCACGGGCGACGAGCCGCCGACGGCAACAAGGTGGACCACCGTCCACTGGAGCTCTGACACGTCACTCGTCGTCGTCTCGACTATCGGACAATGAGTCGGTGAGCGATGAGAAGGATACGGATCGGCGGTCACAGAATAATGCACGGGAGAGGTGAGTAGGCTTGGAAGGGGCCTTAAAGGCGCATTGGGGAGGTCTAAGCTGTTCTAGGCTGGTCTAGGCTGGCTAAGGCTGGTCTAGGCTGGTCTAACCTGGCTTAGGAAGGTATAGGCTGGTCTAGGCTCGTCTTGACGGGTCAAGGCTAGTCTAGGCTAGCTTAGGCTGGTCTAGGTTGGTCTAGGCCGGTCTAGGCTAGTCTAGGCTGGTCTAGGCTGGTCTAGGCTGGTCTAGGCAAGTCTAGGCTGGCGTAGGATAGTCTAGAATGTTCAAGTATGGTCTAGGCTGGTCTAGGCTGGTTTAGGCTGGTCACGGCTAGCCTATACTGGCTTAGGGTAATCTTGGCTGATCTAGACTAGCACAGACTGGCCTGGGCTAGTTTAAGATGGTCTAGGCGGGTTTTAGCTGGTTTAGGCTGGTCTAGGCTAATCTAGGCTGGTCTAGGTCGGCCTAAAATTTTATTCTGATCAATACCTCATTCTTCAAACTTCCAGAGTCCGCGTGCGTGACATCAACTCGGCGTTCAAGGAGCTCGGCCGTATGTGCACCCAACACAATCAGAATACCGAACGAAATCAGACGAAATTGGGCATTTTGCACAACGCCGTCTCGGTCATCACACAACTTGAGGAGCAGGTGAGCTATATGCGGTAAATATGGTCTAAGCGGCCTAATTTTAGGCCTAAAATGGGCCTAGAATCTTTATTTTGACTCAGATGCCACTCTAATAGGGGGTTTTGCTCAAAATGGCTCAAAATGATCCTAGAAACTAGAATTCTGGCTGAAAAGGGTCTAGCAGCCCAAATTTTGCTCCAAAAACCCTCAAATTTAGTTCGAATGGCTTAGGTGCCACTCTAATAGGGGTTTTGCTCAAAATGCCTCAAAGGACCCTAGAAACTTGAGTTTTGGCTCAAAATGCTCCAAAAACGCTCCAAAATCCTCCTAAAACCCTCCCAATACACCCATTTTCCAGGTCCGCCAACGAAACATGAACCCGAAGGCGATGGTGGGAATGAAGCGAAAAACCGAGTCGGATAAGCTCGAGGAGAATGCCCAATTTGGACATCCACGGTTTCAGTGAATCCAACTCTCTCTCTCTTTCCCACCTACACATACACACAATCAACATTACGGTCCTGTGATTTCCATTTTTTTTGTTGTCGTCGTCTCTCTCTCTCTCCACTAAAATTTGCATAATGTTCATTCCTTATTTATATATAATCCACCTATTTTCGAATTTTAAATTTTAAATTATTTCTCTCTCATTAACTATTATACACCCTCCAGCCCAATCACCCCCTAACTTTTCTTGTGATATCGTCAAAACATCCAATAAATTGTAGCAATTCTTTGTGCCGGTGGCGCCTTCTTTTTCGCTCTCTTATCAACGCCCTCCGCTGCACTGTCGCCTGATGCACTAGTGGCGCAGTGGCTAACGCGCTCGCCTGTCATGCGGGAGGTCGCGGGATCGACCCCCACTGGATCAATTTATTTTTTCTTATTGTTTTTCACTATTTTAAATCACTAGAAGCATTTGAAGTAGATCAAACAATTCCGCTTCCATATTTCACAGTTGAATTAGCAGTTGAGTAACCCTGGCCTCTTTAATTATCTTTCGGGTGTAAATGACACTTTGGGCGATGGGATAGGAAGAATATGGTGTTAATTAAAGGGTGGAGTTGTTTTTAGGGGAGAGGTGTAGGATAGAAAATACTAGGAAAATGAGGGGAAAATTCAGGAAAAATACTGATTTTCAGTGGTTTTTCCTAGGGTTTTTCCGGGTTTTTTCTGGGGTTTTTCCGGGTTTATTTTCTGGGGTTTTCCCGGAAATTTCAGTGTTTTTCCAGTGTTTTCGCAGTGTTTCTGCAGTGTTTCTGCAATATTTTTCCAAAAAAAAAACACCAAAAATTCAGAAAGTACGCGCTAATGACAATTATCGATTATTTTTCATAAAAACCATCAAAAATCACCACGAAAAGCTGAAAAAAAAACACAAAAAAAGTACAGACCATGTGACATGGAAAAAAGACAAAAAAAATTAAATTTCTTGGAAAATAGCCTTCCTGACCAGCTCAATAGCGTTTGGATGCTTCAAAATCGCCATATGATCCGCCTGAAACACCTCATGCACGGTGACCTTCTTCCCCTGATTATTATTGATCCAATTGGTGCAGACGGTCGCCGATTTCTTATTTACAGTACCATCCCCGTCACCCATGAACTCTGTGGGCGGATAATCCGGGAAATATCCAGCAGCCCATTCGAATTTCTCCGGTGTGGGCACCCCGGTTCCGTAGATACAGTGAACCGGGACCCCGGGGGCGGTAAGGTTCCCGTTGAGTCGGGCGGCTTGCTTATACTGCTCCCAACCGACCATGTAGTCAATGTCGGCAAAGAACTCTTTGATATTGGAGACTGTGTAGTTTTTGGTGGCTGTGGTGGCCAGGATTTCGTGGGGTTTCCAGGCGACGGGACTTGGGAAGAGGAAGGCGGAGGAGGTGAAGGATCTGGAAATTGGTAAAGTTCCAAGAGGTCAATTTATGGTGTTTGTGGAGTGGCCTAGGCACCTGGGGTCAGAAAGCTAGTCCGCGCTTTTTTTGTGTTTGCAGACTCGACGCTATATTTTACGACGATTCGTTTTTCCGGATTTTTGATCTATTTTTCCTGATACAACCCTATATGATATTTATACCAATCAATAGAGAATTGAATTCACTATCGATTCAGATTTTCAGATTTTCTAAAAAACAATCTAGGTGCGTGCTGCAAAATCGACAAAAAATTTCACTTTTCTGGCGATTCCGTGAAAATTCTGGATTTTTAGTCGGTTTTGTTGATTTTTTATCTGAGGAGCCATCTTACCATACAAAATAACTCACCTCTGCATGGCTCTCAAATGGCTTGGCGGCAGAATCACTCTGTAGTAGTTCATATTGTATCCCGAAGCGAATAGCCGCACAATTTGCATAGATCCTGCCCATGGAGCCGCCAAACTCACGAAACTTGAGATATATTTGTTTTTCCAGGCCTGAAAATAGAAAAAAAATTGTCGACCCCAAGTTATAATCGCAGAAAATGCGCCGCGCAGAGAATTCTAGCTTACCTGATCCACATAATTATTCAAAAAGTACAAGGAAAGTGGATTTCCCATACTGTGCCCCACAAGCACAATCTTCTGGTTCTCGTTCCATCGGTAGGTGGTCTCAATGAGGGTTTTCAGCTGGATGAGGTAGTCGTTGAGCTCATCTGAAATGAGTTATGGCTTAGGAAGCAAAAAGGGAAAAAGAAAAATAGATTTGACCCCAGTGGGGATTGAACCCGCGATGCAAAATTGTGAGACAGCTGCGGTAGCCACTAGGCCACTGGTAGCCGGCTTTCCCACCTCCCTCCTCCCAGGCGCCGCCATCTCTCACGGCGCCGCGGTGGCCTAGCGGTTAGCAACGCCGTCTATCAATTTTGCATCCCGGGTTCGACCTCCAACGGGGTTAATTTTTTTTTCTTTTTCATAGTAGCTAGGTTTTCCCAATAGAACACATCCTAGTCCTTTAAAAACTCCAGAAATCCCTTCCTGGGACCTTCCTGGGCCCAAAAATTGGAACAAAAAAACTCACTCGGTGATCTTCTCCAATCAAACGGCGCACCAACCACATCCTTTCCTCTCCGATATCCCCATGACACCATCGAATCGACGATATCAAAGAAATATCTTCCCTGCGACGCCTTACTCTTATCCAGCCACTCCACGGATTCAGATGCTCCGAATCCGACGATACGAGTGTCCACTCCAGGCATGTTTTCGGAGAGCCCTGTGGTCGTGTTGAAGACCAATCTAAATTGAAACTATGGTTTTTTTGTATTTCGCACGTGGTAGATCAAAAAATTTCGTATGGAAATCATATGGGTTTTGTCAAATAGATTGCTGAAAAACTCGGAATTTCCAGTTTTGACCTGCTTTTTTAAAAAAAAAACATAAACTCACTGCATATTATCCGTCCAACAGTCGATGATCAATGGAGAAAACAGCTCAAGATTGAGCCACAGGTCAAAATAATCGGCGGTCTGCTTAGAGCAGACATAATGGACGGTGGAGGGTTTTCCGGTTAAATTCGCCTCGATTTGGCTTCCTCCGTCACCGGGGACTGAAAAAAAAGTACGGATTTATTTTTTTGACTTTGCCCGTTCCCGGAGAAGTCTGTGGGGTCTGACCGGGTTTTCATAATTTTTTTTAGCATTAGAGCGTATTATTAGAGCGTATTTTCTCTAAGCTTTTGCCCATTGTTTGGTGGCCGAACAATTTTGATTTTTTTAGGGAATCAGAATTTCTAGAGGTTTTCCGAGGTCTTTCTAGCCGATTTATGGCCTATTTTGTGAAATTGCTCAGAACAAAATTTTTTGAGTTTTTTGACTATAACTCGGCTTAAAATCAATGTTTCTGGGTGGTTTCTGAACCAAGAAATCGAGAATTTAAAGGTGCATCCAAAAGACCTCGTAGAGGCTTTTTTTTCAAAACTTCAACCGCCAAAGGGCCCATTTCTTTTTCGGGATTCTACTTAAAAATTGAATTTGTAGATCAAAAAATTCTCTATCAATTGGTATTAATTTCATATGAGGTTGTTTAAAAAAACCGGGTTTGAAAGTCTGAAAAACCTAGGGAAATTTGAATTTTCAGTGCAAAATTATTATTTTTGCGTTTTTGAGCTACTTTTTTGGTAACAACACCACATGAATTTGTTACCATTCGATAGAGAATTTTTTGATCTACAAATTCATGTGTTCCGCGGGTAAAAATTCAGAAAAATAAGGCTGTTAGGGTCCATAAACCAGGAGTTGGATTCAAGGAGGATGAGGTCCATTTATTGAGGTAGAGGCAAAGAAAAATATCGATCGAAAAATTAAAAAAAAATTGATCGCGAGCAATTTTTGTCTAAAAAAAAATCAAAAAAAATCGAAAAAAATTCATTTTTGATTTTCATCAATTTTTATCACTTTCGGTCAATTTTTGCCCGATTTTTGCCCAATCTTTGACCCAATTTAAAAAAAGAAAAAACTCACCCAAAATAACAGGCAACCCCTTGGGAGGCTGTTGCCTCCCATACTTTCCAAACCATCTGGATTCGGTTTGACCGATTAAAAAACAGGAAATCAGGAAAATAAATAACGATGGGTTAGGTACAACCCGCATGGCACCGTCCTGGTCCTGGATCTAAGGGACGACGGGAAAACAGGAGAAGAAGAAAAAGAACTGACCAGTGGGATGATGAGAGGGAAAGGAATGAATGAGGAGGGAGCCCCCTCACTCTCCTCGTAGACACCTGCTATCATCTTCTCTGCGTCTCTCCTGGAATCTGTACTCTCTCGTCCCAAGAGGGCCAATAAATCAAAGAAGCAAATGTTCATCTTCTCTTCTCAAATCACATGGGGTCAGGAGATTTTTTGTCTTCTCAGCCAATTGAGATAAGATACAAACACTACAATAATAATGAAAAGATTTATTGGGGGTGAGAAAAGGACAACAAAGAAAAGAATTAAAGAGGACAAAACATAAATGATAAGATTACTGAGGAGTCTTAGCCTTCGGAGTCCCATTGTACACCTTCGCCGAGTCCGTTGCCATCTTCTTCTTCTTGTCACGGTATCTGAGAAAATTCGGTTTTTTAGGTCACTTTTGCGTTTATTTCCAGTTTTTAGAACCCAAAAATATTGATTTTAAGCCGAGTTATGCCTAATTTCGTGAAATTGCTCAGAATAAAACTTTTCAGTTTTTCGACTATAACTCGGCTGGGAATAAAGATTTTGGATTGATATTAGTTCTGGTTTGTAGGAAATTCAAAGGCGAACCTGACTATGCAAAGTTTGATATTTAGCCGGAAAATGATTCGGTGGCCTAACTTTCTCAAAATTTGGATTTCTAGGCCATCATGTCAAATTTAAGTGGGTTCTGTTCCAAATGACTTAGTGATCATTTTCCAGTTTTCAAAACTCAAAAATGTTGATTTTGAGCAAAGTTATGCTAAATTTATTGAAATTGCTCAGAATAAAAAAATTCAGTATTTCGACTATATCTCGGCTCAAAATGAAGATTTCGGGATGGTTTTTGAACTAAAACGTGGAAAATTTAAAGGCGCGTCAGTGAAATTTAAAATTTTGTGACCGTCCTCTCTCCTTTCACCACCCAATAAATTTAGGACGGTTACATGACAAGGGTTGTAATAAACATATTTGGTCATAATCAGTCTCTAAAGATCAAATACAATCACCATAAACAGTCATAAACCGGAATGATTTCTATTGACAGAATGAGAAAATTGTTTGTTCTAGACCTGTTTCGAATCCTAGGCCATATTTGGTTTCCTAGGTCATCTAATGGATTTCTAGGCCATATATCAAAACTCACAAAGCACACGACGAATCGGTGTTGTCAGGATCCGGATCGGTCAGTTTTGATGACGCTTTACTGGTGGAGACACTTGGGGACGGAGCCTTGGGG